GTTATTCATTAACTGTTTACAAACAATGTTGATTTACACTTGTATATGTAAAATAATAAAATATACATACACATATTCATATATAAATAAACCATTTATCAACTCATGGATTGTCAATAGAATTTTAAGTGAATATTTATTGAAATTAAATGTAAATTATGTGCAAAATTTAATTTTCGCTCTACTTCTTTCTTTTTGTTGTTGTTTTAAACTGTTGTGGTGACCGAGAACAGAGGTGAGGACAGTCGAATGTATTTGAACATAATATTACAGAACATTTGATTAAAATCTGAGAACCATCGAATGAATACTTCATTTGTCTAAAACTTGATTGTTCTTTTTTTTTTGCAAATCTTAGACAATCGTCTGAGATTTCATTGTTCTTGCATTTCCAAAACTAATCGCTTTCTGGTCCTGTTCTTTCCTCTAGGAATGATCATATAAACTTAATTAATCTAATCTAACTAGTATTATAACTATCATAAATATATACAGTATATTTATATGTTCTATGATAGTATTCAGACTATAGTAAACATGATAAGAATAAACTATATACGGTTGTAAATAGATTGTTTTATACTTACATAAAAATGATTGATTGTGAGGCCCATTATTTTGTCGTCATTTAGATTGGACGATGTTTGTTGACGGGCTCTTCACTTTAGTGGCGCGAGTTCTGGCTACAATTTAATCGTATGAATGATTGTTATTGAAATATATATGTCGCCTATCCTCGTATATAATCATCAACTTAAATTGCGTTAGTCAATAACGGAATTAAATAAGTCAAATAACGACTTTTGAATATATATATATTGTATATGAAGCGAATGGAATAGAACGAAGCAAAACGACGCTCAGTGGAGATGGCGGGTAAGCCAACTCTGTTTAGTCAAGCGTTAATCAACATTTATAGTCACACAAACATGTGATGAATGGGATAATAAGTGTACACACACATACACGCTCATATAAAAAGTTATGATTGGTATGCGGATAATTAACAAGGTCAAAATGTGGCGCAACTAGGATGAATAGATTGGGCTATCTGAAAGCTTGAATAAGGTATATGGGCTTAACATAATAAGCGACACTACATGATAATCACTTTTTTTGATGGAGTTTTATTCACTGAGCTCGGTGGTTTGTTTGCGGAGCTTTCATTGTTCTTCTGAACGACATGATCGGCACAAGTTTAAGATCAACAAGAACCAATTAACATCGAGGTCAAGCTATAAACCATATGTGGAGAAATTCGAACACTTCACTTCTATTTGAAGTTTGTGCTGATGATGTCGTTCAGAAGAACGATGAAAGCTTCACGACCAAACCATCCAGCTCAGAGAACAAAACTACATCAAAATCACCCACCGGAGCTACAAATCTTCTCAACCATGATAATCTTCACATTATAATTATATTGTTACGGATGATTTATTTTGAGGTTGATGTAATGCTAGACTCTTATTTACATATTAGTTGAAAAAAATACAACAATATCGATCTATGCTAAACACAAATTGATGAAGATATATATATATAATGACGGAAGAAAGAATTATGACCTGATGTATGTATGCTCATGTGGATGGATTATCATATATATATGGCCTGGATACACATGTAAGTGATTTCTAGTCATCATAGAAACCTGAGTAAATATTTGAGTCTGTTGCTAAGTGTTTATTTTCAGTGTGTTTTTTGTGAAAAAAATTCGAAACAGTTATATTGTTTTATACCTTGTACAAACAAACATTTACTTTCATATTTGTCAATGAAAATTCTATAGTAATATTATTTGATGAGGATTTTCAAAGAAAATCCCAAGTAATCGAAAGATTGAATATCTAATACTTCTAGTTAAAATTATTGTTATTATTACTAGTCACTGTAAGGCTGCTGCTGCGAAAGGCTATAGGGCATCATGATCTATTCGTAGGTCTTTCCAGTATTTAGATGATGAAATGTTTAGATTATTATACCCGATTTATTTGCGACCACATTTAGAATATGGGATTCAAGCAGCGAGTTCTTGTTTCAATTATGAGGCAGAGATGCTGGAAAAAGTTCAACGACGAGGTACTAAGATGGTACAAGGTCTATCTGGCCTGTCTTATGAAGACAGACTGAGACACTTCAACTTATTTACGTTATCTTACCATCGAGTACGGGGTGATATAATATTGGCTTATCGTATACTGAACGATGACCTTGGTATTACCATGTCTCATCTTTTACTTCCGTCTAGGACTGACCATTTGAGAGGACATTCGAAGAAAGTTCAAAAGCCGAGATCAAATCGTTTATGTCTGGAGTTTCGTTTCTCGCACCGAATAGTGAATTACTGGAATTCTCTAACAGAATACGTAATATCATCACCTTCTGTCAATATATTCAAAACGAGATTGGACCTCCACAGTATTACAAACTGCAAGGATTAATATAGGTCGATAGACCTCCTATCCTTATTACTGAAGACTGATTAATGGCTCCATTCAAAATTATAATTTTGGCACAATATAGAATTATCAACACAAATTATTTCAACAAGTTTTCTTTTCTTATTTCTTGATTGATCCTGGTGACAAATATTGAGCGGTCGTCAGCTAGAAGCCAGCAGTTCAGGAATCGATATGCGAATAATTTATATTTTTTTCGATGCATATTGCCAGCAACTACGATATCTCTGATTGAGCTTTTTATTGCAACTTGTACAGTGGAAGGTTATAATCTTTTCACAAACTCACCTGAATAGGTTATGAGACAAATAGGCATAATGATGTGTTAAAATAAACAACAAAACAGATAACTTGTCGAAATATCTAAATGGTAGGGAGGAACAGGTAGCCCAGCTATTGAAGCAGGCCACCTTGGTGCTATGATTTTTACGCGATCATAATATTTATAAACGATCATTATATAATTTCAATAGTTGAGATCATGAGTCAATTAAAGTTAGACCATCATGGAAAACCTGGAAGCACTGAACGGTCGTTTCGTCCTATTTTGCGACTCCTGAGCAGTGCGCATCCACGATATTGCCTCGCAAGATTCGAACCCAAGTTTTCCATAGTGATCTAGCTTCAATTGACTCATGAACTCAACTATTGAAACTACTATATTATCCACGAGTAACCCCTTCTGATACCAATCATTATATAGTCTAATATTCGAAGGTACTTTTTTTTCTTCTCTCATTGTACTGAATCTTTTCAAATAGAGAAGCTTCATTATCAATTCTGTTATAATAGGACGTTTTTGTACACATAAATAAAATGTGTTTTCTAAATTGTCATAAGAACAGTTAATCAATCAATTGACTTAACTAGAGTTATGTAATCACTAATGACTGGTTTTAAGATAAAAATTCTAATTTCTAGTTCATAGGAAATCATAATAGACTAAGTTCAACTATACTAAGAAGTAAAATAGATATCATTAGCTGGATAATTTAAAGTTACTATAATAGCTATGTAACTTGAATATTCTAGATGAACACTTCTAACTTACTTACTTACTTAAGCCTGTTACTCCTAATGGAGCATAGGCCACCGACAAGCATTCTCCAACCCACTCTGTCCTCCACCTTTTCTAATTCCATCCAATTCTTGTTCATTTTCCTCCTATCTGTCTCCATTTCCCGGCGTAATGTATTCTTTGGTCTTCCACTTTTCATTTGGCCTTGAGGATTCCATGTGAGGGCTTGTCTTGTGATGCATTTGGGTGCTTTCCTCAATGTGTGTCCTATCCACTTCCAGTGCTTCTTCCTGATTTCTCCCTCCATTGGGATCTGGTTTGTTCTTTACCACACTTGGTTGTTGCCAACGGATCGGAAGTATTTTGTATAGACAACTGTTAATAAACACCTGTATTTTCTGGATGATGTCTTTCGTAGTTCTCCAGGTTTCTGCCCCATACAGTAGAACTGTCTTGACATTTGTATTGAAAATCCTGACCTTGGTGTTGGTTGATAGTTGTTTTGAGTTCCAGATGTTCTTCAGTTGTAAATATGTTGCTCTTGCTTTTCCGATCCGTGCCTTCACATCTGCATCCGATCCACCATGTTCATCAATGATGCTGCCCAAATATGTAAAGGTTTTTACATGAACACTTCTAAGGGAGGGGAATTATACTTGAAGAAAAAAAAATCAACCAAGTATTCATTCATTTTCACTGATTTCTTACTTACATATTTAATTTCTGTTACCTCTTGTGAATGACCATATATATCATTCACTAGAATCTTTTCCAGTTGTTGTTCATTCTTTTCATATTTACTTCCAATTCTTGGCCCAGTATGTTCTTTCATCTTTCTCTATTCCCTTTTCCTTTTAAGATTCATTGATTATTAGGTTTATTTCGGTAGATATGATGGGCTATTTATTATTTAAGATAATTTAATTAAATGAATTCATTATAATGTATATACAAGATCTATTTCAACAATAAGGTCATATACACATGACTGATTGTTATTTATTCAATAATAATGTCAAATAGAATCTGATCATTAAACTAAAACATACAATTAGTTTATCTCTTCTTTTTTTTGATTCATTATACAATGAAAGAAACAATTACAATTAATGGAATGAACAATTTAATCTCCCTGAAAGAATGGTAACTTGAAACAGAGAGATAAAGAGAAAGAGAGAGAGAGAGAGAGTGATTGAAAAAGACAAAATATGAAAGAGGTCAACTTGATATGAAGTTCTAAGACAACAACAATAACAACAACACCATCACCATCATCATCACCACCAACAACAACAAAAACTAATCATCTCTCTGTCAATCATATAAGAAATCTGGATACATGAATCCTTATGGAAACTGATTTATACATACATAAGTATAGTTAAAGATTACACAGAGAGAGAGAGAGAGATAATCGAAAGATTGAAGATAATGTACAGTAGGAGGAGATTTTATGAAGAAATATTCTTCTCAAAAAAAAGAATAATAATAACCATTCTATTTGTATCAATGTAAATCTGATGTTTTATGAACCACACCCAATTTCATTTTTCTTACGTTACACAAATACTACTACTACTACTACTACTACTACTACTATTACTATTACTATTACTATTACTATTACTACTACTACCACTAATAATAATAATAATAATAATAATAATAATAATAATAATAATAATGGTAATAATAAAGGAAATGATGAAAACTACTTGAAAATTGAATAAATTGTGGATTAAAACAAAATTTACTGATTCATTTTTGTTCTTTTTTTTTAGAGAAAAAAAGAAATACTCTTCAATCTAATATTCATTGATTCTATTGAATTGGTAAAATAATAATGGTGAATGATTAGAATGAAACATGAAAATAAGGAGTGATTTTTATGTTAGGACAATGGGAAATATACAGGATAGAGGGATGTTCGTTTGTTTGTTTGTTTATTTGAGGTGTTTTGATGAGATCTTGTAAAAATTGGATAGTAAGTTGGTAGTTTATGATGAAATGTAATGGGTTCTAGTGTTGGAGTGAACATCAAATCTGGGATGCACGTTCATTTGGATAACAAGTTTTAAAACGAAACACAGGTCTTAGATTCCGCTTCTAGCTATATTCTATGTTTTCTATTTAAATTTGATACATAATCGCTTTATTGAGTCAATCCTCATAGGATTCACATACGTCAACTAAGATTAATGAAAATCCAGTCAAAATATTAAAAACAGAATAGTTCAAACCGTCATAATTTACATACAGTGATTCTTGGTTTACAGTTATGAACATTTTCTATTCATATCATGAATGGACCACTATTGAAAACCTGGAAGCCCTGAATGGCCGTTTCATCCCAGTATGGGACATCTCAATAGTGCGCATCCACGATCCTGCACAAAAGAGACATGAACCCAGAATCCTCGGTCTCGCACACGAACGCTTAACCTCTAGACTACTGACCTAGCATCCAACGGTGTTAATATCTAACTTCAACCAATCCACGATATTGCGCGACCGTCCACCATTGTCTTCAGTGAATAACTCCCTCTAAAACAGACACAGTTTAACTCCACTGCTCACGACTTCTTCCTACAATTCCAGGAAATCCATTTTGAAGCTAGTAACTAGTGAGTACATGACAATTATCAGTGTAGGGTTTCAGAAATTGTTGATCGTAGATGAGCACTGCTGAGGAGTCTTAATATTAAAACGAAACAGCCGTCAAGTGTTTTCATGTTTTCAATGATGATATAATATTAATCTAAACTCAACAATCCCCATAATCCTTTACTAATATGAACATTTTCTTGATATTTATTGAGTTTTTCTATGAATGGTCTTTGATTTTACTTTAACCTAATGTAACTTCTCTGAGGTATTCATTTTTATAATCAATAATTTTCCTTCCCAATGATTACTGAAGAACAATTTTAAAGAAAATATTGTAATAAAAGTTTATGATCGGAAATGAATTCTTCATATTAAGTTTTTTTTTTCCTTTTTTTGTGAAATAAATTTTAATGAAACTTAATCACAATTGAATGATCACTGGGTGGTGATCATTGCCATGTGTGTCAACTCCTTCTTAGCACAGATCGAATGCTATCGACCAAGTTGCAATGTGGCTACTAGTCTAGATATCGAGGCAATACACACAGTATGCACATATGCCAATAAGAGGCTGACCAATTGCAATCCTATACATCAATGGGAAGATCTAAGTAAACAACACCAAGCAGGCGGCCATCAGGACTCAGTAGCTAACTGGATAACATGATGGCGTTTGAAACGAGCAGTACCGAGTTCGAGCCCCAAAGTGAACATCAACTCTGAGATGCTGGCACATCCAGCTGACGAGTTCCAAATAGGATGAAACGGACATCCTGGATTCCATTGCTAGCCACTATCCATCTTAGCATCTTTATTTGTTTAAAATAACGAAAAACAAACAAAATACATTTTATCACAGCATGAATAATTATGAATTGTTTTAAACTTTCTAATTGAAGTATTTAACAGAAAATTAATTTCAATTGATAGTTCTATCATAACAAGTAAGTGATACTTAATTTTGTTTGTTTAAACCATCTTATATTGAACAATTTATGATAAAGATGAAGCGGTGCATTAAATTTCAAGTGATTGAATTAACCTGTGGTTAGAAGTGTTTAGAAGTAATAATAATAATAATAATAATGCGATAGAGCTGTATCAAGTATATATTTGTTTATGATATCTGAAGAGGAATAAGATACACAAAAGAACGTTGTTATATAATATTAAGAATGTTAAGGGTTTTCGTTTTATTTATCCGAAATTAACTATACTATATACATTCTACTTCTTTAGGAATGATGAATTAATGAGAATCATACTCAATTCAGTATGGATGTTAGTTAAATGCTTAAATGCTATTACGAGTTCATCTTACTCGGTAAACGGAATGAAGGTCAAAGATACAGTGACACGATAGGCTATTCTAATCCGTTATTTCCGGGCCTGCTAACTAGATCAAGAAGTCTTCGTCAGGCGTAAAGAATGTATTCTGTAAGCACCCAGAGAATACGAGGCCAACAAGCACACAAGTCAAGCATATTTATACAATGATAGAAACGCCCTTGGGAGAGCCACAAAATAGCTTACTAAGAAAATCAGTTTATGAGCGACTTTTGAACGACATTAACGCGACCTTGAGTATGTCCATCTATGATTTACAATGGATAGTTAAAATTAGGAATTAGATTTATGAGTTCACTTAGTATGAGAACGGAACAAAGATTCCGTGACCGTCGACCAATAAGCTAGCTATTTGATGCGTCGCAGACCCGCTAACTAAAGAAAGAAGTCCAAGCTTGGAACGGGAAAGTATATTTCCGTAAGCCAGAAGCACGAGTGAATAAAAACAGACACAAATTAAACGTATATATACAGCATAAAACTGTCCATGAGAAGCGTTGCGAAAATAGTGTACTAAAAATACACAACGGACCAATAGCATTCAAGATTCTCCCAAGTGAGAAATACGACATGAAGGTGAAAAGAACACGAAAACAAAGAAATTTAAATTTCTTAAATAAAATTACAAAATTAAGGCATTTACCAAGTGAGTTCTGGGGATCTAACATCCCCAACAATTCTCTAGATGTTTCTGTGACACTTCCATTCAAAAGTTTCCCAGTGTTTTAAGAGCCCTCTGTGCTTTTTCAAGGAATATTTTGGGTCTGCCCAATAATAATCATTATTGACTTTATTCAATTTTATATTTTTGGTACAATATAAAATTCTCAGCATAAAGTATTTCAACAAGTTTCCGTTTCTTATCTCTTGATCGATCCTTGCGATAAATATTGAGTGGTTACCAGTTAGATCTTTAGCAGTTCATGAATCAACATCTATATAATGTATATTCTTTTCACTGCATATTGCCAGCAACCACGATACCTCTGTTTGGGCTCTTTTGTAACTTGTACACTGAAATATCGTCAACTTTTCACACACACACACATACACGAAAACAGATAACTTGTTGAATCATTCAGATGACAGGAACAAGTAGCCCAGATATTCAAGTAGGCCGCCTCATTTTTTGTTACTACAACAAGATAAAAACTGATTACATTTGTAAAGATATAATGATATATATCTATTGTCATAGATCATTTTATACATAGTTGCTTTTTAAGCTTTTAAATATTGCATGATGAAAATAATTAAATGGAAATTTATTATTTATATTATCATCACAATGTTTGTTTTTGTAATCAAATGAGATACTAATGTGTCTGATTATTGTCTTTTGGTGTTGATGAAAAATTGTTGATAAACGGAAAATTTTAATAGTTGAGATCATAAGTTAATTGAAGCTAGACCACCATGGTAAACCTAGATTCACTGAACTTCCATTTCCTTCTATTGTGGGACTTCTCAGAAGTGCGTATCCATGATCTTTACCTCGCAAGATTTGAATACAGAACTTATCGGTCTTGATCTCAACTATTAAAATTACTATAATATCCACACAAAAAAACTCATTTTGATATTAATCAACATATGTTAACTAGTGACTGGATTCAAGTGGTATTTCCTGGAGTTCTAGTGAGAAACAGTGACCAGTGGAGTTCAACGGTGTCTGTTGTGAGGTAGTAACTCACTGAAGATAATGGTGGATGTGTCGCTCAATTTCGTGGATTAGTTGAAGTTAGACATTAACACCATTAGATACCGGTCGACTCAGTGGTCTAGAGGTTAAGCGTTCGCTCGCGAGACCGATGAAACAGCCGTACAGTGTATACAGGTTTTCCATGGTGGTCTAACTTCAATTGACTCATAATTTCAACTATTAAAATTACTATAATATCCACAAAAAACCGCTTCTGAAAAGAAAAATTACTTATTTACTTACGCTTGTTACTCCCCTTGGAGAAGCATAAGCCGCCTACCAGCACTCTCTATTCAACCCTGTCCTGGGCAATAAAAGGAAAATGAACAATATTTGTTCTCATTAGTTTATTTTTAATTCCATACTATAGTGAACTTATTACCAGTAAAAAACGTACGTTATTCATTTCATTAAAATTGAATAGGACTAAAGGCCACATTGGAACTAATAGTCTATTGAACTCGAACAATACTAAAGATTAGGCACATATGACATTAGTTATCAATCAGTGATCAATCACTTTAGATATGTCTGTCTTACAGAAGTAGTCAGTAGTGATTCAAATAGCTGAGTGGATTTGAATCTCAATAAATTCGTCACTCCCTTCATGACTGTAGATAAACCTTGCTGTCTTAATACTGAGTCGGTTCAGATTTAGATTAAGCAGGGTTTTCTAGCAACTACTTTCAATCACTTAAAATAAACATATTACTTGTACTAATCTCAAACATTATAACTACTGTTTGTTTCACTAAATGGTGAATGGTGAATAGCTGAATGATTAATTAGTATAAAAGAATATCATATTCCCAAGTACGTACAGCCGATATAATTCTACCAGTCAAGTTGTCATATATATACTATTCATATGAAATCTGGTTTGAAATATTTTTTCTGGTTAGCGTTAGCGGTTAGCGAGCTTCCAACTCAAGAGGAAATTAGGAAAAGACGTTGGAAGTGGATAGGACATACATTACGCAAATCACCAATCAGCATCACAAGGCAAGCCCTGACTTGAAATCCTGAAGGGAAATAGAAAAGGGGGAATCTAAAGAACAAACTATTTTGAGACTA